CACAGAAATCCCCCTGTTAGGATTCAACCTAAGGAGGTACACACCAAGACACATAGTAATTAAAATGGTAAAAAATAGTGATAAACAAAGAATTTTATTTTATTTTATTTTTTTAAGATTTTTATTTGACAGAGAGAGAGAGAGATAGCGAGAGCAGGAACACAAGCAGGGGGAGTGGGAGAGGGAGAAGCAGGCTTCCCGCCAGGCAGGGAGCCCGACTCAGGGCTCAATCCCAGGACCCAGGGATCATGACCTGAGCCGAAGGCTGACACTTAAGGACCAAGCCACCCAGGTGTGCCAGGAAAGAATTTTAAAGATTGTAAAGAAAAGAAAACAGTTACGTACACAGGAAACCCCACAAGGCTATCAGCTGATTTTTCAGCAGAAACTTTGCAGACCAGAAGGGACTGGTATGATATATTGAAAGTGCTCAAAGGGAAAAATCGGAAGCCAAGAATATTCTATCCAGCAAGGATAGAATGAATTTCCCAGACAAACAAAAGTTAAAAGAATTCATGACCACTAAACCAGCCCTACAAAAAATGCTAAGGGGGGCTTTGTAAGAGGAAAACAAAAATCATAAGTAAGAGTAAGAAAAAACAGGAAGCACAAAAACAACAAAAAAATAAGTATATCAATAAAAATCAGTCAAGAGAAGCACAAAATAAAGGGATGTAAAATATGATACCAAATATCTGAAATGTGGAGAGGAGAGGAATACAATTAAGCAACTATTAGCTGAACATAGACTGCTATATGCGGAAGATGTTATATACAAACCTAATGGTAACTACAAGCCAAAAACAGTAATAAAAAAAAAAAGAATAAGGAATCCAAATATTTTGCTAAAGAAAGCCAAGAAATCATGAAAGAAGAGAGCAAGAAAAGAAAGGAACAGAGAGAAACTATAAAAATAACCATAAGTCAAGTAACAAAATGGCAACAAATACATACATATCAATAATTACTTTGAATGTAAGTGGACTAAATGCTCCAATCATGGCACATGATGACAGAATGGATAAAAAAGCAAGACCCATCTACATGCTGCCTGCCAGAGACTCATTTCAGACCTAAGGACATATGCAGACTGAAAGTGAAGGGATAGAGAAACATCTATCATGCAAATGGAAGTGAAAAGATAGCCTGAGTAGCAACTTATATCGACAAAATAGACTTCCATACAAGGGCTGTAACAAGGGACAAAGAAGGACACTGTATGATCATAAACAATAAAATCCAACAAGAAGATATAACAATTGTAAATATTTATGAATCCAACTTGGGAGCACCCAAATAAATACATAAAGCAGCTAATAACAAACATAAAGAAAATGATCAATAGTAATACAATAACAGTAGAGGACATCAACAAAGAAACAGTGGTTTTGAATGACATACTGGCCCAGATGGATCTAACAGATATAGTCAGAACATTCCATCCTAAGACAACAGAATACACATTCTTTTCAAGTGTACATGGACCATTCTCCAGAATAGATCATATATTAGGCCACAAAACAAGTCTCAACAAAATCAGAAAAATTGAAGTCATAAAAATACATCTTTTCTGACCACAGTGGTATGAAACTAGAAATCAAGCACAAGAAAAAACATGAAAAGCACATAAATACATGGAGGTTAAATAACATACTACTAAACAATGAATAAGTAAACCAAGAAATCAAAGAGGAAATAAAAAAGTACATGGAGACAAATGATGGCAAAAGCTGTTCTAAGAAGGAAATTTATAGCAATATAGGCCTACCTCAAGAAGCAAGAAAAATCCTAAATAAACAACCAATCTAACCTTACATCTAAAGGAACTAGAGAAAGAACAACAAACAAAGCCACAAGCCAGTAGAAGGTAGGAAATAATAAAGATTAGAGCAGAAATAAAGAAGAAACTAAAAGAACAATAGAACAAATCAGTGAAACCAGGAGCCAGTTCTTTGAAAAATCAACAAAATCATAAGCCTTTAGCCAGATTCATAAAAAGAGAGAGGACTCAAATAAATAAAATTAGAAATGAAAGGGGAGAAGTAACAACCGAAGCACAAAAATCAAAAAAATTGTAGGAGAATGTTAACCTGTGTCCCAGCAAACAAAAGTCCAGGACCAGATGGTTTCACAAGGGGATTCTACCAAACATTTAAAGAAGAGTTAACACCTATTCTCAAACTATTCCAAAAAATAGAAAAGGAAAACTTCTTAATTTATTCTATGAAGCCAACATTACCCTGATACCAAAGCTAGATAAAGACACTACAAAAAAAGAGAAATACAGGCCAATATCTCTTTCTGAACATAGATGCAAAAATTCGCAACAAAATACTAGCAAACTGAACCCAAAAATACATTAAAAATTCATTCACCAGAATCAAGTGGAATTTATTCCTGGGGTGCAAGGGTGGTTCAGTATTCACAAGTCAATCAATGTGATTCATCACATCAATAAAAGAAGGAATAAAAACCAAATGATCATTTTAATGGATGCAGAAAAAGCATTTTAGAATATAGAACATCCATTCTTGATAAAAACCCTCAACAAGTGGGATTAGAGGGAACACCTCAACATAATAAAAGCCATAAATGAAAAACCCACAGCTAACATAATACTCAATGGTGAAAAACCGAGAGCATTTCCCCTAAGGTCAGGAACAAGCCAAGGATGTCCACTCTCAGCACTCATATTTAACAGAGTACTGGAAGTCCTAGCCACAGTGATCAGAAAAGAGCAAGGAAGAAGTAAAACTTTTTCTATTTGCAGATGACATGATACTATATATGGAAAACCTTAAGTCTCCACCAAAAAGCTATTAGAACTGATAAATGAATTCAGTAAGATTGCATGATACCAAATCAACATACAGAAATTCATGGTATTTTTATATACTAATAAGCAACAGAAAGAGAAATTAAGAAAGCAATTCCATTTACAATTGCACCAAAGGTAATAAAATATCTAGGAATAAACTTAACCAAGGAGGTGAAAGACCTGTACTCTGAAAACTATAAAACATTGATAAAAGATGTTGCTGTTTCCACACAAACAAGTGGAAAAATAATCTGTGCTCATGGATTGGAAGAACAAATATTGTAAAAGTGTCCATACTACACAAATGTATACAATCTACAGATTTAATGTAATCCCTATCAAAATACCAGTAACATTTTTCACAGAACTGGAACAAAGAATCCTAAAATTTGTATGGAACCACAAAAGACCCCGAATAGCCAGAGCAATTTTGAAAAAGAAAAGCAAAGTTGGAGATGTCACAGTTCCAGACTTCAAGTTATACTACAAAGCTTTAGTAATCAAAACAAGCATGGTACTAGCACAAAAATAGGCACATAGATCAATGGAACAGAATAGAAAACCAGAGGTAAATTCACAATTATATGGTCAGTTAATCTTCGACAAAGCAGGAAAGAATATCCAATGGGAAAAAGACAGCCTCTTCAACAAATGGTGTTGAGAAAACTGGACAGCAACATGCAAAAGAATGAAACTGGCCCACTGGTTTACACCATACACAAAGCTAAATTCAAAATGGATTAAGGACCTAAATGTGAGACATAAAACCATAAAAATCCTAGAAGAGAGCACAGGCAGTAACTTCTCTGACATCGGACATAGCAACTTTTTTCTAGATATGTCTCCTGAGGCAAGGGAAGCAAAAGCAAAAATAAAACTATTGGGACTACATCAAATAAAAAGCTTCTGCACAGCAAAGGTAATAATCAACAAAACTAAAAGACGGCCTATGGGATGGGAAAAGATATTTGCAAATAACATATCTGATAAAGGGTTAGTATCCATATAAAGAACTTCTATAACTCGACGCCTGAAAAACAAGTAATTCAATTTAAAAATGGGCAGACAACGTGAACAGACATTTCTCCAAAGAAGACATCCAGATGTCCAACGGACACATGAAAAGATACCATCAGTGATCATCAGGGAACTGCAAATCAAAACTACAATGAGCTATCACCTCACACCTGGCAGAATGGCTAAAATCAAAAACACAGGAAACAACAGGTGTTGGCAAGGATGTGGAGAAATAGGAACCCTCTTGCACTATTTGTGGGAATGCAAACTGGTGCAGCCATGCTGCAAAACAGCATGGAGATTCCCCAGAAAGTTGAAAATGGAACTACCCTACAACCTAGTACACACAGTACTGGGTATTTACCCAAAAAATACAGAAACACTAATTCACAGAGACACTGTGTGTACCCTGTGTTTATTGCAGCATTATTTACAATACCTAAATTATGGAAAGCAGCCCTAGTGTCCATCAATAGGATAAAGAAGAGGTTTTATACACACACACGCACACACACACACACACACACAATGGAATATTGAGCCACAAAAAAGAATAAAATCTTGCCATTTGCAACAACATGGATGGAGCTACAGAGTATAATGCTAAGCAGAATAAGCCAGCTAGAGAAGGACAAATACCATATTATTTTACTCATATGTGGAATTTAGGAAACAAAACAAATGAGCAAAGGAAAAAAACAGAGAGAGAGACAAACGAAGAAATAGACTCTTAACTATAGAGAATACACTGTTGGTTTACCAGAGGGTAGGTGGGTGGGGGATGGGTGAAATAGGTGAAGGAGATTAATAGTACACTTATCTTGATAAAAAGTGAATAATGTTAAATCAGTGTATTATGCACCTGAAACTAATATAACACTGTATGTTAACTATGCTGGAACTAAAATAGAAAACTTAATAGGAGAATTTGCATTATTAAAGAAATGGCTGTCAATATTTTCTAAGTATTCAGATTTTAAAAGCCTGTATTTATAAAGGATAAGATTTTATTTAAATTTTGAAAAACATTATTTCAAATGATAAGGTACTCTCCAAAATGTATTTGTATATTAACAGAATCAGGATGTTTTTTTTTTTTCCTTATTGTCTTTTTCCTTTTATTTTTTAAAGGTGAAAATGCCTCACATTGTGCTCTTTTCTTTAGGTTTATTGTAGGGAAGGAAGAAATTCCCACACATTCTTATTCAGCAGAAGCAGCATATGCAAAAGTGGAACAAAAGACAGAGAAACATGAAGAAAAGCCAAGAAGATTGAATATAATTGCTCTAATCAGGAAACTTGTGGAATCAGTGTAAGTTTTTTATCTTGATATTTAGCACACTGTGTTACTGTTTTATATGATATTTGTACTTTGCCAAGGTGTTTTGTTTTCTTTTCAGTAATGATATACATATATATCATATCTATCTTTTTTTTTTTTACCAGAAACCGTGCATAGAGTTTTATAAAAGGCACATAATGGCAAGTCAGTGTTATTTATTATTTTTGTCTGGACTGTATACCAACATATGCCTTTAAAATAGATTTATATGAACTTGTAATAGTTTTCTATGTTAAACTAGACACAGTTGCAGGAGGCTAGAATGGGGAACTTTAGGAAACAGGGTAATATGTGCTAATCAAATATCCCAAATGTGGAAAGGAGAAAGAAAAGTTCTGGGACACATTCAAGAAGATAGAGGAATAATAAGGAGCAAACCTTACATAAATGTTTTTTGTAAGAGTAGAAATTTTCAGGGCTTTGGAAATGGAATAAAACATCTTTATTTGTATATTATACAAAGAAGTTTGAATTTCATACAAATAGTATTTGTATTTCAAGTATAGGAATTATACTTCTATATAATATTAAAATACTTCTATAATTAATAGAAAATTTAGTGATTTAAAATTAAAACATCAGTTAATAAAAATAATCTTGGTAGTGATATTTTAGAGAGTGTTGAATGAATAGCCAATACAGAAAGTTGGAGATCAGTTATGGGAAGCTGAAGCCATAAATCAGACCTTAGACTCTCATTTCACCCCTGCTGGCTTTGTGACTTTGGGCAAGTGATTTAACCACTCTGGACCCTAAAGTCCTCATCTGTTAACTTGGGTTAATGATCTCTGTTAAGGAGTGTTGCGTCCATTAAGTAAAATAACATATGAGTTGCCTCACATACATGAGCACAGAGTAGGTGCTCAAAATTTTTACTGTATTTAAAGACTTTGTCTTCATTTTATTATACAGCACATACAGAAGGTAAGAGGGAGGGAAGGAATAACAGATGGCAGGAATAATTGTGGTAGTAAACTTTTAAAAAAAATTTATGTATATCTTTTTTTTTCATCATGGTAAGTGTACTCCTTAATCCCCATCACCTGTTTCACCCATATCCCTAACTACCTCCCCTCTGATAATCAGCAGTTTGTTCTCTGTAGTTGAGTCTGTTTCTTGATTAGTTTCTCTTTCTTTTTTTTTTTCCCCTTTGCTCATTTGTTTCCTAAATTCCACATATGAGTAATATGGTTCAATATTACAGTGTGTGTGTGTGTGTGTGTGTGTGTGTGTGTATACCACCTCTTCTTTACCCATTCATTGATTGAAATGGGCTGCTTACATAATTGGGCTATTGTAAATAATGTTGCAATAAACACAGAGGTGCATATATCCGTTTGAATTAGTGTTTTGTAATTTTTGGGTAAATAGCCACTAGTGAGATTGGTAATGAACTTCTTAATTCTTAAGCAAGTTCAAAATAGTTACTGATCACCTGAGTGGAGAAAAGAGACAAGGAATCCCTATTCATGGAAATCATGTCACCATGAATCAGAGGGGAATGCGGAGACGGGAATGCAGAGAATGTATTATGTGGGTGAATGATGCCTTGGGTATCAGAACTAATCAGTTCATGGCAGAACTTGTCAGACTTGCCTCCGTGAGTCCACTGCTGTGGAAGCAGATGCAGGGTAATACATAAGGAGAGCAGATAAGACAGGAGATGGGGAGTCCAGGTTTTGAGAAGTTTTAATAACAGACTGAGGGAAGATTAAATGACAGTATAGCTGATACCAGAATTGAACTTCACTAGCAAAGCGAGTTTAACGATTTCTGTGTAGTTCCAGTAGCACTGGCTGAGGAATGTCTTTGAAGAGGACACTCAGAAGTATGAAGAGTGATGGTTTACACATGGCCACCCCTCTCTGATTTACCTCTTTTAGGTTCCAGCTTTAATCCCTCAACTTCACATGGCCAGATACGTCCCATCATTCTGATGACATAAGGGCTATGGGCAGGAATCCCTGCCGTCCCCCTTGTCTGTGAAGGGCTACACGTATACGCCAGCTGTGGCGCAGAATTGGATTTCCGAAAGGATTTTGCTAATCAGTTTGCAAACGGAATTAGAGAGGTGTGGAGCCAGAATATCACTCTACACATTATTGTTACAAACGAGAAACTTAATGTGTTCCAACCATGAGATAATTAATTAACTGCAGTCTGCAAGAATTACGAAGACTACTCATTTTGGAACATGAACACTTCATAGAGAAAGGGGGAGAGCCAGACCCATGTTAGATATTTTACTTACTTTTTTACACCTTGAGTGAATATATAGTCCTAGAGTCAGCATACCAAATAATTGAAAATCTATGTGTCTTGAACAGTAGCCCCCCCAGCAGAAACATTTACTAAACACCAGAGGACCAAGTGGTTTGCATTTAAATCACAAATAACCTACTTTTGAATTCCCACGTGATCTATTACTCTATTTATTTTAAAAACTGAATTTTGAATTCTAATACTGTATCATGTTTCTTTTCCAGATGTTTTCTCTCAAATATAATTAAGTATAAATTCCTGTAACCTGAGCACTTTCTCATTATGATTGTTGCTCAAGTACTGACTTCATGGGTGACTTATGACCGTTATATTCTATAGTAAGCAACTTAAAGCTTCCAAAAGATTTGGCAGAGTATAGAGATAATATATTACATATTTTTCATATTTAGTCACGAATATTTACCAATGTTTTTTCTGTTCTGCATTTAAGTATTTTGACTGCAGTCACATATTTTATGCACTGTGTCAAATGGTGAACTGAAAAGAAAAAAAAATCTGTTATCTTTGCTTTTTTATGTCCTAAGAAACCAAAAGATGCATGCATTTAAAAACAAGTAGGTAATGTTTTCTCCTTTTTTGGTTAGAGAGTTTTAAGCACATCTACACATATACACATCACTTATTACTTTTGTCTTATTTCAGATGTAAGCATGGACCAAGGCATAGGTGTTGCAAACACTATGAAGATAATTGCATCTCTTATTGCATTAAAGTAAGTATATAAAAGTATCACTATTAGCTATGGGAATATATATAGAAATAACTTTTTAAAGATTGTATTTATTTGAGAGAGAGAAAAAGCATGAGTGGGGGGAGGGGCAGAGGGAGAGGGGCAAGTAGACTCCCCACTGAGCACAGAGCCAGATGCTAGGCTTAATCCAGGACCTGAGATCATGACCTGAGCCAAAGTCAGACACTCAACTGGCTGAGCCACCCAGGCATGCCCCATATAGAAATAACTTTTGAATTAAAGCATGATTTCAAAGTAAATGGAAAAATAGACAGTAATTGCTATCATTCTTTGCATTTGACTTGAAGAATGAGAAATTTGTGAAAAATAGATAACAATTTAGCTTTTAGTATTCATTTACCAGATCCTTGGGTAATTAATTTTAAAATTCACTTATTTAAAAATTAGCAAAGGGGTGCCTGTGTGACTCAATCGGTTAAGCGTCTGCCTTCAGCTCAGGTCATGATCCCAGGGTCCTGGGATCAAGCCCCATGTTGGGCTCCCTGCTCAGTGGGAGTCTGCTTCTTGCCCTTCCTCTCCCTCTGCCCCCTCCCCTGCTCATGTTCTCTCTTTTTCTGTCTCAAATAAATAAAATCGTATAAAAAATTAGTGTAAAACTTTTAAAGTAGAAGAGAAGGTGAAGCAACAACAGCAAAAAAGACAGAAAAATAAAGTTATAAAAATTTATATGTTGTGATGTATTCTCATTAGAATCCATGCTAGAACAAGGTCCCTGGGGTATGCTGTCTACTAGTGGATCAGCAGTCATACACATACCCTGTGTGCAATCTGATACAGTGGCATTTGGTGTTGGACTTGTAAAGCTGTTACATCTTTGAAGGCATGGAGGTTACTGGAGCACATCCACAGTTGCTCTACATGAAGGAAGTTAGCTGTGCCCACTGGCATAAATTCCTCCCTCCCTAGTATATTTGTGTACTAGAATGTCTCTGCTCATACCCATACCCCGTTCTGTGCCTGCTGTCCTCCCATCCTCCATCACCACCACCTCTGGGGAGGAAGTCATTTTCATTGCAGTTAGTCTGGCGCAGGTGGCACCACCTGCCACAAGTTCTCTAGTGACAAGTTCTGTCACAATCCTGATGCTGTAAAAAGTTTATGTTCTTCCTTATAATATCTGATCCCCATTCAGTTGATGATGGGAAGTTGTACAGCACCCCCAAAAGAGAGCCTCCCAGCAGTCACTCTGAGGAAGTGGGACTGTATCACATTAGTGCTTCTGAATGTGAATGCCTGTGGTCTAATATTGATGGCAGCATATACCCAAGTTAACACTTACTTTAGAGTCCTTGAAGATATGAGCAGAGGTTAAAGCAGTATTTTTTCATTTGTGCAGTGGTTTCTGAAACACTCCTTCCAAATCTGATTTCCTGCCCCACTTGTACAGTGGCAGGGGGGCGGGCAGCAATGTTGCTGGCAGCCCTCAAGATCTGCCAGCTCGCAGACTGGAGTTATGCCCTCCAAATGGACGTAATTCTGATTTAAGGGGAGACTTCAGGAGGGGAACTAAGAGAAATATTCTGATTAAATCAGAGGTATTTGAGAAAGTTTGGGAAGAGGGCAAGTGATATTTAAAAAAAATTATATGAGAAAGTTAGGGAGAATTACTGAGGAAGGAAGACGTCTAGTCATTGTTTCAAAATGTGTACCAGTCCTATAAACTTGGCAATTTATGTATAAATTGGAATAATGTCCATGAATGTAAAATTATTTGGAGACCTATAGGTGAGGAATTTACACTACAAATATGGAAAATACTTTGACAGTGCACCTCATTATTCTATCAGCTCAGTTATACCACCTGTTAAATCACATCCCTGAGTGAATATTCGTACGAATTAGCCTTCCCTGCAGCTCACTATGCTCCATTCATACTTTTTGTTGGTTCCTCGTAAGTGCCAGTCTTTGTTTTGTCTTTGTGCTTTCTGTCCAAGCGATCTGAAATGTTTTTCTCATGCTAGCTCGTTCTCTTTTCTGTTTAAATGTCACATCCTCTTTCACTTTTCCTTACCACCTAATTTAATATCGGCTGCCTCTTATTTCCCTCCTAGAGTCTCATTTCCTGCACAACACTTAACTGTAATCTGTAATTGTTTTATTTATGTGCTTACTTATTTGCTCTTTCTCTGGTGAGCGTGAGGCTCCGTGAAGGCAAAAACCGTGTGTGCTCTTGTGCTCTTCACCACTCTGTCCCCAGCATCTAGTGTGGTGGTTGGCACCTGAGAGCCTTCGGTGAATGTTTTCTGAGTACATGAAAGGGTGAATGGATGCAAGGAGGAATGGGTCTCTTGAAAATAGCATGGAAAGATTGAACAGGAGCGTGATCCTTGAATCTTTAAATTAATATTGTTAAGATTATTAATAAAGTGCGATAAAGTGCGAGATAAAGTGCAAGATAAAGTGCGAACACTTCATGCATTAAACATATACTGGGCAGTTTCAGTTAAGCAAATGCATGGTAATTTATGCCGATTGGTCAGACAATTTAATTTTCATGTTTTAACCAGGTATTAAATAGTTTCAGGTAAATTAATGAATGTTTCTTCATAGTAATTCAGTTTTTTTCTAAAAAAGAAGGCTGCTCTCTGGAAGATACAAACCTGACCTTTGGAACTTAGCAGGAATGTAGACATTTTTACATCCCACTGGTGGTGAGAGAGGAGGATGGGAGACTGGTATTACAATGTATTGGTTGAATCCTGTGAAATACTGTTCTTTTATATAACATTAGCCTTTGTGCTAATTGGAATTTTTCAGCCTCTCAGTATGAAGTGACATTTAAACTTCATTACCCTAAATACTGAAATGAAATTTACCAACAGTAGTCATCCTCTCTGTTCCCGTTTGCCCTATAGATAGTTGCAGGTAATACGGAAAAATGTTGGCAGCAAGTATGCCTTTGTACTGGATTTGCTTTTTTGAGTTTTGTTTAGTATACTTTAAAGCTACCATTTCTTAGAGATGTTTTAGCCTGACACTGTTGAGCATAGAAATAAAAACCTAGGTATAATTTTTTTTTTTTCCTGGAGAATTCTTTTAACCTGATCATTTAAAAAATTGATATTAAAGGTCTAAAAATTATTTTTTTGTCAAAACAATTCCTACTTATAGTAATGATTAAGAAGAGTTCTCTTTTAAAATTTCCAAAAAGCTTTTTTTTTTTGGAATTTCAGTGCTTTTGTTCCTAAAATTCAGTTATGGTTTAGGAATTATAAATCCTATGTTAACAATGTTAACAAAATGTCAAGAAATGGAAGTTTGGTGCATAGACAAGCTTGGCCAGTGCTTGTGAGCCTTTCAAGTTTTTGAAAATCAGAGATGAAGTATAGTCACTGAAAAAATCTTTACCCTCATTTTAAGGTAATTGTTTTAAAATTGAGGTCTTTAAGGCTTAATTTTGAAAATACTTTGATATAAACTGGGGTTATTTATTTATTTGGAATTCTGTTTTGATTCTGCAACAGTAAAATTTACATTTGTCGGACTTAGAAATTTGGATGTAAATCAGAATTTATCCCAATTTTCTCTAGGGTTTCATCAGAATGTTTAGCGTGGGATACTTGATCCAGTGCTGCCTCCGAATCCCCTCTGCATTCAGGCATCTGTTTACACAGCCATCCCGGCTATTTTCTCTCTTCTACAATAAAGAAAACTTCCAGCTCGGAGCTTTTCTGGGCTCTTTTGTTAGTATATACAAGGTAAGGCTTTTAGAAGAGGGAGGAAAATGGGAAATAAAGAACATAGCTATTATTTAGAATGACATACAGCCTTTACCCATCTGTCATTTTTTAAATACTTCTTTCTGTTGTATTCATAAATAACGTCTCCAAATATACACAATATATTAGGAATTGAGGTTGGAGAAATTTCTTCTTTTAAAATATTACTTAATGTGCTTGAAAGTGTAAACATACTTGCATTTATACATAATATTAAAGATTCTCAAAGACTTTTTTTTTCAATAATGTAGATACTGAAAAAATATGAACTTTTTGATATTTCTAACTTCAAAAGTGGTATTAATATATCTGGCCTGTTTGTATTTCTTAATCATACTTACTGCTTGCTTATTAATTTAAACATATTTCAGACCCTTCTAGCTGATATCAACACTTGAGCCAGTAAAGATTTTCTTTTGTAACTTATATAAGCAATGACTTACCTACTCACTATTCCTACTGCACTCTCCCAAAGAACCATAGTGAACATTCTTCCACCCCTTTCTGTATGTTCCTATAAACATACCCACACGAGTATAAGTGCACACCTAAACACTTATGTAGGGATCATCCATGACACAGTACTCTGAAATTTTAAGTAATGGTGTTTTGTTTAATGGGAGTCACTCATATATAACTCATATTACCTTTTATTAACCATCAAAAATTTAGATTCTAAATCTAAATGTAGATTCCAGATGGTAAAATGTGTTGACTAAGGGTAATTGTATGCATATACACACACTTGTTCTTAAACTAAGAAGAATTAATGCTGGGAAACTTGAATTCTGGAGTCATTTTGGGTAAGATGGTTATGTATCATTTTATGTAAAAGTTTACTTACAAAAGGTAGGTATGGGGGAAGTATTTTGAAATGGACAGGAGAACAGGAGTAACAAATGACAAACTATAGTTAATTACTTGTTATGAATTATTACTAATATTGAAAGTATTTTCAATATGGTGTGACTAGGAAACATTACTGATGTGTTTGAATACACAAGAGTTAATAGAACAGAAAATTGGCAGTTATGTTTATATTCATATTCTTTTTCATTTCTCCTGTCATAGAGTTTGTATTTATTCTTAACATAAACTCTTAAGTGTTACATGTAGATCATCTCCAACATTTTTATCCCAGGTTGGTTATTCTCCACCATCCAGCATATCTCAGAGCAAGATATTGATTATATTTGATACATAGTTTTTCTATTCTTTTGCTTCAATCTTTCCATATCTTCAATTTAAAGGTTGATTTCTTATGACATGTATTTGGTTCTTCCTTTTTTATACAGTTTGATAATCTCTATTAATTGGTATGTTTAGACTATTTACATTTAATGTACTTTTTGATATGGTTTAGTTTAAAGCTAACTTCTTACTAGTTGTTTTGTATTTGTTACCCCCCTTTTTTTCTTTTTCTGCCTCCTGGATTTTTTTTTTAATTTATATGTTTTATTTTTTATTTTTATTAATTTTTAATATTTTTTGTATTCATTCTTCACTTTTGGCTTACTATTTATATCTCTTTTTAAATTTAGTGAATGCCTTAACATTTATAGTAAACATTTTAAATCCATCAGTTTTTTCAAATACTATACCACTTCATGTATAGTGTAAGAATCTTACAACACTATACTTCAGATTCCTTCTTCTCATCCTTTGTGGTATACATTTATCTTTTCATGTGTTATAACTCCCACCCAATACATTGTTACCATTTTTGTTTTAGACCAGGAGTCAGAAAACATTTTCTGTAAAGGGCCAGACGTTTTCTCTTTTAAACTTTGCGGACAGTATTTGGTCTCTGTCACGGTTGCTCAGCTCTGCAGTTGTAGTGTGAAAGCAGCCGTAGACATTATATAAATCAACGAGCGTAGCTATGTTCTAATAAAACCTTATCAGACTTTAATTAGAATTTCATAAGATTTTGACCTGTTGCAGCATGTTATTCTTTTATTTATTTCATCCATCGAGAAGTATAAAAACATTCTTAGCTCATGAACCATACAAAAACAGGTGACAGGTCAGATTTGGCTGGTGGGCCATAGTTTTCTGACCACTGATTTAGAGTTAATTTATTTTTATAGAAATAAACAATATTAAAAAATGTCTTCTAAATTTATCTTCATTTTGCCATCTTCAGAGCTCATTTCTTTTTACAGATCTAAACTGGTATTATATTCCTTTGGCCTGCAAAACTACCTTTAACATTTCTGGTAATGTAGGTCTGTAGAGGATGAATTTTCTCAGTGTTTATCCACTCAAAAAGTCTTTATTTCATCTTCATATTGAAAAATATTTTCTCTGAGGATAGAATTCTGGCTTAGATTTGTAGTTTACCCAACTTTTCTCCTTGTTAGAGTGGGAATGATTCTACATGTAGGCAAAGTAGAATTTATGCTTTCATTTTGAAAAGCCATGACAACAAAAATATTATGTATAATTTCTTAATAGAGTCTACGCAGAAGAATAACTTTATAGTAGGTTATTATTGATAATTTTCCCAATCATGTATTTAGTTTGAGTTAGATAGGATCACCAATTTGCCTCCACAGTCAGCTAGTGACTCACTCATTATAGATGTTACATTCACCTTTTCTAGAAATGAAACAACTGAAGTCATTGCATTTTCTTCTTGATACAGGGTACTAGTTGCTTCCTGCGCTGGGTCAGAAACCTGGATGATGAACTGCATGCTATTATAGCTGGTAAAGCAATGATAAAACAGAGTTATTATTATTGTATCAATCAGTGGCAGGAATGATGCAGAAATAGTTTCCAAATTCATCTGATTTCTATGTAACTCTCTTTCTCTGGAATACAGTCTCTATTGAGGCACTAGTCCAAACATTTTATATTTGCACAGTTTAACCTATCAAGGCATTCTTGCCATCAAGTGTTTTGAATTGGCAGTATAGTGATTTGGGTATCTGCCCTGCTACAGGCCAGAAATCCTAAGGAATGTGTTGTAAAAGAACATAAAACTTAAAAACTTTGTGACAAATGGAAAGGCGTTCTGTTTCTCAAAGTATTCTGTTTTTGCCATGGGCATGTGACACATAGTTTAATAAAATATATTTTTTATTTTTTAGAAACTTAAATAATTTCATAAAAATTAAAATGTGAGATTAACATTTTCTACAAGTTGCAACATACATGCTACTTAAATTAAATTGAAAATTTTCAGATATTTATTAGTAATATACCTGCTAGCAGTATTTCAGGCCTTCCCCTGCCTTGGTCTTCCATATATAGAACAAAGACACTACTATGGAGAGAAGTGTGATGATAGCACTAAAAGTAATTTGAGCTGTTAAAAGAATAGATTAGTAAATATTTCCACTTAGGAATGATATCAGTAGCCTTTAAAAATTATTTTTGAAAATCATTATATTTGTCAAGACAACTGTTGTTTTTAAAGTTAAATTTAGAGTGTAAAGTTTCTTTTAATATGTATATTAGAACTCTGAAAGTCCATTTCTTAATTTAAAAATATATGATACCCATAAACTCACCCCATTTTAATGTCATCCAGTCTATTCCTGTCCTTGATTTTGTATAACAAAAGGCAGTGCTGCAGATCAATTCTGTCTTACTTAAGTGATTTGACATTTCTGAGTGACTTACTAACAAATACTTCAAGATTTGATGCTTTGCTGTATTTGTTGTTTCAGGATTTTTGGCAGGAGTATCAATGATGTTTTATAAAAGCACAACAATTTCCATGTATTTAGCTTCCAAATTGGTGGAGGTAAGCAAACATCTCTATGTATATATATTTCCAAAGGATATAGAGCTTTTCTAGCTGGTTTAGCAGCAAATATACATCCCAATTTACAAGAGCACGTCAGTTTTATAAAAGTATTTACAAAGTCAGTTCTCCCATTTTTTCTTCTTTCTTTGTGTTATTTTCAAATATATACAAGTGTAGAAAGAATAAAGTAACTAACCCTCATGTACCCATTATACAGCTTCAACAGTTAATAGCATTTGACCAATCTCATTCCATCTCGACTGCCCCAACCTCAGAAGTACTGAATTTTTTTGAAGCAAATCCCAGACATCATATCACTTCTTCCAACTCAGGATTAAAGACTCCTTAAAAACAAATAGATCAATAGTACTACCAAAGTATAATCAAAATACCATTTTCATACATTTAAAAATAAACCTCATAATTCTTTAATATTAATATATATACAGTTAGAGCTTATATTCTCACTGATTGTCAAACAGATGTCTTTTTGCAATCTCTGTTTTAATTGGATCCAAAGTCTCTTGATAGCAACTCTCCTCCCCCACCTCTTTCTTTTCCTTGCCATTTATTTGTTAAAGATCTAGGTTATTAGTTCTGTGGAATTCCCACATTCTGGATTTTGCGGATTGTCTCCTTACTGGTGGTGTTAACATGTTTCTTTAACCCACATATTTCCTGTAAATTATTAATTAGATCTAGAGGCTTAAGCAATTCAGGCTCAATTTTTAGAAGATGGAGGGGACAGAAATAGCTCACAATTACTGTGTGTATGAATTCCCATTGCATCGTATTAGGAAGCACAGAAATGTCTGGTTGTCTACCTTTTTGTGATGCTAAGATTGATCAGTGGGCTCAGTGTTAATAGAGCTAATATAAATATTAAAAAAAATAGAGCTAACATAAGACTCCCTGTTAGGCTTTCACTTAATTGTTTTAGCAGCCATTAATAATCATTGCCAGGGTTTATTATTTCATTGAGACTTGCAAAATGGTCAGTTGTTTCTTCTTAGTACTTATTAGTGGGAATTCTTTTTAAAAAGAACTTTCCTTTTTCAACTGGTTACTCTGAAATAGTTTGCTCACAAAGTGAAAATAAAATGCTTGATTACTTCCCTTTATTTCCTGGTGTTCAGAATGAATTAGTTTCTAGCATTCTGCAAAATTTGACCTATGAGTCTTTATTTTCAAGTGTCATTATGAAGATATGAATTTTAGCATATTTGATTTGTTTTGACCCAGTCATTGCAGTCATTGCCCTAATTTTGACCATGAGAGCCTCTGCAAGTTGCTCCTGTTTCTTTTTTACATAATGCCTGTATCTCTGGTAGCTTTCTTGCTTTGTGATAAAACAAGGTGTTCCAGGCTCATCTTGGACATTTCCTGCCCCAGGCACAGAATCAGCCTTTTCTGCACTAACCACTAGTTTCTTTTGGTGGGAAATGGTAGTTAGAGGCTTCAATTTGGGTGCTAGAAGTTTCTTGATCCCCAGCTAGCCAAGGTTTCTTGGCCTTTCCAGTGAACAGAGCTAGAGAATCCTTCCCTCCCCCAACACCCTTTTTTAGAGAAAGAGAAAATAATGAGCATATTGATATTTCCAATTAAAAGTTAAGATTGCAGATTTTTATTTAACTTGTTTGATTTTCTAAAAATTTTACCTCACTGAAAATCTGTGTCCCTAATGACATTAAGGGAATTACATTTGCTTTATTCGTGTGTGTGTGTGTGTGTGTGTGTGTGTGAGAGAGAGAGAGAGAGAGAGAGTTTGATATTTTTCTCAGTGCAGTTGGAAGTCATTGGAGAGTTTTAAGCATGGAAATGAAATTATTTAATTCGCGTTTTAAGAAGACAAAAACATTCTGGCCATTATATAAGGAATAGACTAGAGGCAAGACTGGAGGCTGGGAGAACAGTTAGTCTCAGGCAGGAGATGGTGGCTTGTAGGGATGGAGAGAAATACACAAATTTGGTGTGTGTTTAGGAGATAGATTTGACAAGGCTTGCTAATGGAGAGGAAAAGGAGAGTGAGAGAAAGAACATATCCCCAAGCTAGCAAAGATATATTCTTTGACACAGGGGAAATCCAATATCAAGATCTAGTTTGTAAAAGATGTGTTTTATAGCTGCTTCTTCCCTAAATGGCTAGAGTTTTTTAAGCCAAGCGGTGGCGTAGCTGTTTTCTTATATCAACAGGCCATATTTGATCTTGGCAAAAGAAAATGGGTATAAAGTGTGCTGATAAGAATTTTTTTTAATTCAGAAAATTACAAATTTATTAATTTTAAGATTTGTTTATTTGACAGAGAGAGACACAGTGAGAGAGGGAACACAAGCAGGGGGAGTGGGAGAGGGAGAAGCAGGCTTCCCACTGAACAGGGAGCCTGACGTGGGGCTCGATCCCAGGACCCTGGGACCATGACCTGAGCTGAAGGCAGACGCTTAACAACTGAGCCACCCAGGTGCCCCAGAAAATTACAAATTTAAACTTACTGTGTCCTTTGTGGAATTAATGACTATGGTGTAATAGGCAATCATTTTTCTATGATTGAAGTTAATTTTATATTAAAATGCTGCATTACTATAATAATGAATATTAAAAGTCAGCTGACTAGACAACTTTTTTCTTGGAAAAAATTATTTCCAAGATATATGTATTTATTGAATATTTATTATGTTCCCATTACTGTACTAGGTGCTGGTAAGCATATAGAAGTATTGGATATGGTCCCCCCCCTTCATTAACAGAATCTGGTTCAATAGATAAGTTTTATTATAAGAAATTAGGAAAACAGTTATTCCATATATCAAGAGATACCTGTTTCACATGTTTCTATGATGCCGTTCTACCACATCTGAATTTCATTTTTGTCAACATGAATATACAATATACCCGTACCTTGTAATATACTGTATAGTATTTTCAAAATAGTGGCCCATGTATATGTTCCTTCCTAAGTAGATTATAACTCTTTGTACATTATCTTACAGATTGAAGTGAATTTTTTATTAAAATGCTGTGTTATTATATAATGAATTTTAAATTAAAAAACCAGCTGTATAGACAACTTTTTTGGGGAAAAATCATTTCATGTTCTTTCATTCATGGACCACCCATGTCTTCTTGAACCTTCCTCCACCTGATTGTAACATGGTTTTCCACTTTTCTTACTAGTCCTGCTTTAGCTTTCCCATGTTTCAGAGAAACCATTGCTATGAATTACTCCATGTTCTACCCATATAAATTGGCTAGTCCTTCCCCATATGTATCATGTGCTTTTACCCATCTGCTTGTACCGTGTGCTTATTACCCCTGCTTTTTCTCTCTTGTGCCTCTTAGGAGGCAACACTATTAGAAGCATAGTCAGCAGACTAGTGCTAGTCCAGGAACTCTTTGTTATCAGTTCAGGACGAGATAAGTATAGAAATTGAGAACAAGCATTTGGAAACTTCTATAGCAACTTGACAGAGTAATTTGTCTTTTGAATATAAGAGTGAAAATTTGGTTCAATTCTGTATTTTTAAAATTTATTTTTCTAGTAATTTATTTTTATTGCGTTATAAAAGCATCAAGCCATGACAACTGGAATTAAAAAAAAAAAGTTTCTTCACTGCAGGTGGTTTGAGAAGCACTACCCAAATGTAGTCATTTCTGAAATTCTCTTTGGTCCTTTGTCCTAGACAGAGTAGTTTGCTCCCTCCTCAGGGGCCAAAAAAAAAAAAAATACACACAATAAATATATATACATAGTTATACATCTAAGTGCATTAGTTATTTCTGTTATGCACCAACTTAGATGTTATTGTATTCATTTTTAAATCCCAAGCTCCTAGCTTAGTCCCCAGCATGTAGTTAATTAAATGTTGAATGAATGAGTGAGTGAGTGAATAAGTGAATATATGTAGCAGGGAAGGGAGGACCTGAGCATTATACAAAAGCATTATACAAAAAGCATTGAAGAATAAATGATATAAAAGAAGGAGCAATAAAAAGTTACTGAATTTCACAGAAAAGTATTATTACTGGTATCTCAGGTTTTGGGTGAAGGAATGCGGGAAGGAAAGGGCTGACACTTAACTCTGTCATGGAAGATACGACCTGTAATTTGAGCTCTGAAAGGATAATTAGTATTTGGAAGGTAGAAAGAATAGTTGTAGACAGGGAGTGAGTACATTGCTCCACTGTATTGTTAATGCTGTTTAAAGTTGTGTGTGTGTGTGTGTGTGTTTAATAAATTTTGGATTATATTTGTTTTTCCTTCCAGACAATGTATTTCAAAGGCATTGAAGCAGGAAAGGTTCCCTATTTTCCCCATGCAGATACGATCATCTATTCCATCTCTACAGCAATTTGCTTCCAGGCAGTAAGTATAGCTTTCTGAAATGAGAAATAAAATTATTTCTATTTCTGTACATTAAACCAATGGGGGGAAATGAAGGCCTGGGAACATTTCTGTTGTTTTATTTTTTATTTTAATTTTTTTTTACCAAGATAGCTTGCAAGTTTCAAATCATTAAACATGTTAACTTAATGGACCAACCCATGTTTTCTGAACACAATAATTTTTATGTTTAAATAGAGTGCAATTTATAGGTAAATGATTACTCTAGTACCTTGGCTAGAATGCCCAGTTTAATTAAACTTCTAGAAGAAGGAAGATACCATGAGCATAAATAAGAATAATTGCATTTCCCCAGCATTACTCAGGCAGTAAAGATGGGGGTGGAGTCTAGTTTATTAGAAGCATTGTTCAATTTCTTTAAATTCTGTAATCATCTATTGATGTTAATGGTTTTAGGGCTATTGCAAAATTTGGGGAACCACTTTCATTTGCACTTTTTCAGAGTAATGCTGCCAGGTTGATAAACTCATTATAACTAGTGAAGTGCCAGCTCTCTAATGAGTATTCAATAAATGCTTTCCTAATAGTAATAGCTTAACTCAATTATTATTTCATAAGCAGTATTCTTATTTGAGGGCATATTTACAAAGATTCTCGATAGTTAATCAACTTAAACTTAAATACATATTTTTATATCGTCATCACTGTTGTTTTTAAAATACAATGAGCAATAAAAATAAGAGATAAAAATGCTCTATTGCCTAATACAACTAATCATATTTCCTATTGACTAAAAGAATTCTCAAACTGAATGTTCTACTTAGGCTGTCATGGAAGTTCAGACCTTGCGGCCATCTTACTGGAAGTTCCTTTTAAGGCTCACCAAGGGCAAGTAAGTGACAGAGACGTAACTGACCATAGAAAATGAGCAGTTGCCACAAAACAGATTTTGAATCTTTCCATCTTTTTGAGGGAATATTCTTTCACTGGTAACGTAGTCCTCTTAGGTATAAAGCAAATATGACCAACTTAACAAGAATGACGTGGGGCCTTCTTTTAGTGAACAATAGACTTCTTTTCCCTGTATTATTTTAGATGTTTTCAATGTTGTAGGAAGATGCTGTATTGATCTGAAAATTGCTCATTAGTTGCTGCATAACACACTTGTGTCTCACTTTTAAAGTCTTTGATCTCTTCTTTTTGATTAAAAATACTTACTAAGCAGATTTATTAGAAATCTTGCCTAAATAATTAAATGATTTCCATTTGGGGAAAAATAATCCTATTCTTTCTTGATATTATAAGCATAATTTCCTCTTCCTTTATTATTCTGTCCTTCATTGTTTTTCTTAGCATTTTCTGATGTTAATCTAATTCTTTGGGATGCAGCTTGACCTCACAGACTGTGGACTTTGGAGTCAGACAGACTTAGGTTTGACTCTGGCTCTGTTAACCTTTAGCTGTGTCACTCATAGGAAAGTTGTTTACCCTCATGAGCCTCCGTTTCTCTCTCTCTACTGGAAACAGTAATATATTCTTTGTATGGTTGTGGGAAAATCGAGATGTTTGTAATAGCACTTAGCACCTAGTAAGCACTAAATTGCAGCTGTTATTAATATTACTATCATTCATAGTTTTAATAGCAAACAGTTGTATAGTGCTTACTGTGTCCCAGATATGGTTTTAAGATACCCACACATACCCATACAACACAGGTGTACATGCATATGTGTTTAATCCTTAAAATAGCTCTATGAGATAAGTACTTTTAAGATCCTGATTTTATATGGGAGTCAACTGAGGTGCACAGAGAGGTGAGCTAGCTTGCCAGAGTCACACAGCAGATGAAGGTGCTGTGGGATATGAGCCAGGCAGTCTGGCTGCAGCATTCTTCCTCTTAGCCATGATTTCTGTGTGTCCTTTATGTTATTATTAGTTAATTTTCTATTTCTGTGTCATTTAGTTTTTTGCCCATTAATGAGCTTAACCAGTTGATTATTTTGGAAGGGAACTTACTTTGGAAAGGCACTGAAAGTTACATTTATTGTTCTTGGAGTAGTGACGATGGCCAAGGGCTCAAAACTAAATTCATTCTTCTCCCCAGAAGAAATGCTTGGGATCAGGCATAGAGACACAGGTTCCTCCTGCACATTAGCTCGATATGTGTCTTTTTAATTTTTTTTTTTTATCTTTTAAGTTAGGCGATGGATAAAACGAGGGTATGCTTTTACTTTGTTGTGTCCATTAGAAATTTGAAAACCAAACAATAAATAAAGAAAGAAAGAAATTTGAAAACCTATATGCTGTTATCCCTTTAATCATGGCTTGCACATTTGGATGTGTTTTCTGTGGATTGTGAGGCATCAAAATGTCAATTATGAACAAAATTTACATTTAATACCTTTGCCTCATTGGTAACATTAAGCTCAGTCATTTATTTATTTCCTGTGATTTCATTCATCAGAAAAATTATAATGAACCTGTTTTTCTATTTGACATAATCTAGTGGAAAGAACTTGAGAGGGGCTCCTGGGGGTCTCTGGGGTTTCAGGTCTGGGAATTATTATCTCTTTAAAGAAAATATGAGACAGTAGTCTTGAGGTAGAGGATCAGTATGAATTTTGAATCTGCCATTGAGTCTTTTGTCATGTCAGTCTTTTGTGTTTTCCCATTCCACGAAAGACATGTCAAGTGAATCATCATATTTTATGAACTTCATTAAATACTTGTTCATTGTGTCCTCTGTTTTGCAGATTTGCTGTCATGAACCGAAAAGTCCTTGATGTTTTTGGTACTGGTGCATCTAAACACTTTCAGGATTTTATCCCTAGGTTGGATCCAAGATATACGACTGTAACACCAGAGTTGCCCATTGAGTTTTCTTGAAGATGACTGTAATTTATTAATGTGACCTAATGTTTCATTATTTTCTTCTGAAGAGTTAATTATGTTGAATCACAAAAACGGAGTCTTGAGCTTGAACTTCAGTGTTATTTCAATGAGAGATGCTCTTTGTTTTTCTTACCAATCAGAAGTACAGAAGCTTTTTAGGAAGGTGTTGCTTAATAATTAAGTGCCCTTCCATAGCCGGAATCTGATTCTGGGTCGCTGTAGTGGTTGACATGATGCTGTATTATTGATTAAGTTGTGTCCACAAGCAACCTTAAATAATCTATGTAGAAATGTAGTAACAAATAAGAGTATACTTAAAATTACTTTAAAAGATGTTTTTAGTTCATTCCAATATAATTCTTGGTTAAAACTAAGAGTATTTCTACGTGTTAGGATCACGGGTACATGGATTTGGTCTGTATTTTTTTTTACTTTTGAATTGGTAACTATAGTAGTTAAATGTATGGATATGAAGTAACTCTTCACAGACAATGCTGCTTTAGTATAAAGCAATTTAATTGAAGAAAGTGGCCATTCTTACTTCAGGGATGCAAAGACGGGTCTTATGCTGTTTGAATAAATGCTGTGGTATCCATGTCTTCTTCTGCTGATAACTTCATCTCTCTCCCATGATGAGTTGGGCTGTCTGGCAGCCCAGTGAACCTCTGTACTGATGGCAGGTTGGGAGTAAATGGAAATTGACATACCTGATACAGTCGAAATGTATGTTTTAATCTTTTGCAGAAGCATTACACTTGAATATTTAAAAGCAAATGAGGTTGCTTCTAAACCTCTCGTGGGTTTATAGTATTTGTTTTGTTTTCACTTATAAGGACGGAATTCTTCATGGCTAAGGTTGTCTCCCATTGTAGATTTAGAAGGGATCAAAGTAGTTTTGGCAAGTTTGTCATTTTGTGCCCTCTCGACCGTTCCACCTACACAATGGATATTTTACAACTACAAACAATATAACAATCTGGTGGTTCTTAAAAAGTCCATTTCATCACTAATGGGATTCAGGTTCTCTAGCCTCTTTTCAAAAACTTATTGTCACCATTTTTATTCCTGTTAGAATAAAGAAGTGACAGTATGTAGTCACTGTTGATTATGAGTTCAGGACAGCTGTGATTAAAATATGATTACTCCTTAGAGTTTTTCAGGGAAAAGTTATACTTTTCTAAGTTAATAAAAGGCTTAATTGGTTATGATGTCTATCTACAGTTAATATAACAAATAGGGATGATGGTATATTTTTTTAATATCATTTTGATGCTGAAAAGTTTTGGGCCATTGTAAATTAATTATACAGTAGAACCTGTGTTGCAACAAGGATTATAACCCAGACTTTAAAAATGCTTAATCCTCCATATTCCATTTCATCAAGCCCTGTATATTTCTATTTACGTGTAATCCTATCCTTGGTAATGGCAAATTGAAACCCAACAAAACGACAGACTCTGGTACCATGGTAACAGAGAGAGCCACTTCAATTAGGTCAAATTTCTGCATTGTGATTAACTTTTTGGAATTGACTTGTCTATTAGACAACACTGTTAAGGCATCATTTTGGTTTCAGACTTCAAAATTGATTAATAAATTAAGTTTTAAGTTTTTATTCACTGGAATCAAAATGACAACTGGTATTGTGTTTACTTTTAAAAATGAAGTATTATAGCAGTGAAGAAAGCACTGCTTCCTGCCCCTCATTTTCTTTATTTAGAAATTATGTTTATAATATTTTTCCTGTCTGCTTAAAAGAAAAACATTTTAATTCGTAAGTTACTGTTGTCATTAACATTAAAAAGGCTATGATGTTGAAAGACAAATTCTACTGAAATTTGATGAGATTGTTTAGTAAAATTTTACTGTCAAAAGGTACATTTCTATGATTTACTTTCTCAAACTATAGTCATTTTTTAAATATAAAATGTAAAATGAAATAACCATCATGAAGCAGAATACAGTGATGAACATATAGCTTGAGTGAATAGTTAACTAATTTGCCGTGGTGAAAAGAGAAGTCTGATTTCACTGAGGCAGCCTGCAAAGTGTAGCTGTTTGAGAAAACAAAAAGAGACTGTCCGTGTTCCTGAAGACAATCAAATGAGTATCTTTCTACCTCTAACCAATCAGATATCAATTGACAACTTGGCACCATAAATAAAGTCAAATACATGTCCTTTCCAAAACATGTTTTTTAGTCCATTTATACACTGAAGATATCCTGCCAATGGTAAGTTTCCACCAGAACTGACTGCAGTTTGACTGAAGCATAAGGAGAATACCATATACTTAACTCTAAGAAAAAACATGGTAGAGAAACAGTCTATCAACTAACAACTTTCCTATAGATAGAAGCATTTTCAGAAGTCTGGGAAAGCATAAGGAAGGTGCATAAATGTATCTCTTGGACTTTTTTTTGCCACCATCCGGCTGTGTGGCTGACTGTTTCTTGCCATGTCTTCTCACAAGACTTTCAGAATCAAGCGATTCTGGCCAAGAAACAAAAGCAGAATTGTCCCATTCCCCAGTGGTTTTGGATGAAAACTGGTAATAAAATCAGGTACAGCTCCAAGAGGAGGCATTGGGGAAGAACCAAGCTGGGTCTGTAAGGCGTCACACATGATGAGATGACACACCTAATTGGCACCACATATTTAATTAAGCTGTGTGAAGATCATGTGTTCTTTCACTCTGTAAACATCCTTCCTACCTAGCCATAGACATGTTTTATCAGGGAAATGATTTTTCTCTGTTACTATGCCTCTGCACCAGTAAGTTGGTTCAGTAATAAATGAGACCTTTCGACTCTACTGCTGTTGTGTTTCTGATTTGTGAAGTACTGAATTCCGCCTTCTGTCAGATCATGCATAACACTGTCGCAAAGAACTTTCTGCAGTGATAGAAATGTCCCTTGACAACCAAGTATGTAAAGTGTGGCTATGGGGCACCAGGGTGGCTCAGTGCCTTAGGCCCAGGTCATGATCTCGGGGTTCTGGGATTGGGCTCCCCACTGAGCAGGGTGTCTGCTTGGCCCTCTGCCCCTCCCCCAGCTCGGGCTCTCTCTTTCTCAAATAAATAAATAAAATCTTAAAAAAAAAAAAACCTATCTCTTAGCAAATGAAGTATTTCATTAGAAATACTCTTAGAAAAAGCACTGTTGAGAAACTGTCATTCTACTAACATCTTTCCTGAAGAGAGCGTTTTTCAAATGTATGTGGATGCATAAGGGATGTGCCATACCCTTAACTCTGAGATACAAGCCTGTGGTGAATGCAACTGTATACTAACATCTTGTTTCATGACGATGGAACAGTTTCAAATCTACGTGTGGCAGTATAAGGAAAGGGCCATATCCTTAACTCTGAGAAACAAGTCTCGGAATATGAAACTTTCAAATAACATCATGTTACAAGAAGAGAGAAGCATTGTCAAACGTATGTATGGAAGCATAAGGAAGGGGCCATTAACTCTAAGTAACAACACCTTGGAGAAACGTATTTCACCTTACATCTTCATTCCAGAAGAAAGAAAGAAGCATTTTCAAAAGTGTGTGTGAAAGCAAAAGGAAAGGGCTATGCATATACTTGACTCTGAAAAACAAGTCTGTGTAGAATGCACCTTACAAGTAACCTCTTGTTTGATGAAGATGGAACCTTTTTCGAAAGTACCCGTGGAAGCAAAAGGAAAGTGCCACATATTTAACCCTAAAAAGTCAACATTATACAGAAACCGTCTTTCAACTAACATCTTCTTTCCTGAATATAGAAGCGTTTTCAAAAGTGGGTGAGAAAGCATAAGGAAAGTGCCATGTACTTAACTCTGATAAAGAAGTCTGTGGACAACCCAACTTTCAATCACAACTTGATTCTTGAAAATAGAAGTGTTTTCAAAACTATGTGTGGAAAAATAAGGAAATTGCCATCCACATTAAGAAGTGTGTGTAGAATAACACATTCAACTAATATTTTGTTCTAGGAATATAGGAGCGCTTTCAAATGTATATGTGAATGCATAAAGAAATTGCCATACCCTTAACACTGAGGGTAAAGATGAGAACGTACCTTTCTACTAACGTCTCGTTCCGTGATGATGATCGCCCTCCATTCTGTCGTCAGAACAAAATTCCGCCCTGCCATCAAAATGGCGCCCACCTACTCCCGGAGTGAAATTCTAACTCTAGCCTTGGCTGAGGCCCTGGCTTACGCCCCAACCGTAAGTCTGAGGATACAATGGATCTGGACACGTGACCAAAGCCAGAATAATCAAGAAGGAACACTTAAGGAAACTGAGCCCCTTGCACCCCTTGGGATGTTTTGGCAGAGCAGAGTTCTAGCAAGAAACCGGAATCTCAGCACCTGGAGGAGCATCCCCCTGACGCCAAAGAGGAAAGCTGAGCCTCACCCTGATGCTAGCTCTCAGCTCAGCCCTCAGGACAGGACTCGGAGCGGCCACCAAATCAACCCTTGCTCCTTCCGAAACGAAACCCTAACCCTAGCATGGGTGCGGCCCTGTCCAAGCGACAACCCTAGTTCTGAATGCACAAAGCATTTGGGGGACCCGGTCAGTGCCAGAGTAATCAAGCAGGAAACCAGAAAGAGTTACGTGCCACCTGGATCCTCGGGATGTATGGTGGGCTCGTGATTTTACAGAGAATCCCACAAGTCCACAACCCTATGAGCATTCCCCTGAGGCCAACCAGAAGCCAGCGCCTCTGGCTCAGATGCTAGCCCTCAGCTCTGCCCTTGGGGTAGGACTGCGAATGGCCATCAAATGGAACCCTACCGTCTTCCGGAACAAAACCCTAACCCTAGCACGGTTATGGGCCCTGACCTTTCCCATTTCCTGGTTCTGAATGCAAAAATGATTTCGGAGGCTGGGTCCGTGCCAGACTAGTCAGCTAGGAACCCAGAAGGACGTGGTGCCACTCACAACCACCCCGGGTAGTCCCCTCGAAAGCATGATTTATTGAAAAGCCTAAAATTCAGCAGCAGCACGATGTGCATGCCCCTGAGCCAAGACCGGAAGGCAGAGCGTGACTCTGACGCTAGGTCTCAGCTCAGCCCTCGTGCAGGACTCCGAACGGCCATAGTTTTGAAACCTAACGTCTTGTGGCGTGAGACCCTAACCCTAGCACGAACGTGGCCCTGACCATGCCCCAACCATAGGTCTGAAAGCACAAATGATCTTGGAGACCTGGTCAGTGCCAGAATCATCAGGCAGCAACCCCAAAGGAATACCTGCCACTGGTACCCTCAGGATGTCTCCTGGGAACATGAGTATTACTCAAAACCTAAAAGGCCGCAACACGAGCATGCCCCTCAGGCCAAACTGGAAGCGCGAGCCTAGCCCTAAGATATTTGAAGGTGCCCAGCAGATAACATTAGTGTGTAAGGCTTGGTCCGAGGTTTTCAGAAGGAGCTGGTTTCGTTACTTTGGTAAAAGGAACTGAAGTTACACCATTCATTCACAGATGTATCCTATTCCTAGTTTTAATGTAGATTTGGTTTCGTTACCTTGGTAAAAGGAACTGAAGTTACACAATTCATTCACAGATGTATCCTACTCCCAATTTTAATGTAGATTTTTTGTTCTTCCTTGTAACCACTTCCATCCCCTTGCTCATGTTTCTTTAGGGTTGTTTTATATGTGGGAATGGGGATTTTACCCACAGAGCCAGGACCCAAGGACTGGTTGTGACTTCATACTTCAGTTAGTCCTGTGCTAAGTGAAAGCGACCACGTCTAATATCCCAAAGGAAAGGTGGGCTTCCTCTCCTTGAGCTTGAGATGCCCTCCTTCTGAAGAAAACTTCACCACTGTGCTGCATGCTAGAAGATCTTATGAGCTCAGGAAGTGCCCTTTCAAGGAATATTGCACCAAGGCCTGCATCCAAACACTTGGGCATCAGCTGGGAGTTGCAAGCTACCATAGCTGAATCACTGCAACCTCTATCCACTCATGGGATGGGCAATTAAAAAAAGGTAACACCAGATTTCCCTCTTACTGAATGGAGAATGCAGGGTTCTTGTTGACAGGGCTAATAGGTGTAAGCAATGGAGGTTTCCCTTCACCCAAGCCCCCAGTGGTTTCTCCTTCCTGGGAATGAGAATGGGTTGCTAGGAGATTGTCCTAGTCACTTCAGTCAAAACATCATGTCTCATCTCATCTCGAATAAACACAGTTGGCCCAGCTCTTCCATCCTCTTGTTCTTTTTCTGTCTGGGTTCACCCTGTGGGCCTCTTACAGATCCAGTGTCTCAGAGCAATATCCTCTGCTTTAAAATGGGAATGCTGGGAGATTCCTTGTGCCTGGAGAAGTGTGCACCATAGGCCCCCTTGAAATGTAGCTTCAGACCTATGTTCCCATGAGGCGTCGTAGGGATTTGAAGATTGCCAGCAAAGAATGTGTGTGTGTAGGCTTTTTCCAGTGGATTGTAGAAGATGCTGGCCTCAATTTTGGGGGTAAGGGGAAAAAATTAGCTCAGTACAGATTTATCCCACTACAATTTTAAGCATAGATTACAGGCCCTGCTTATATACATTTCTATACTATTGCTGATTTTCTTGCTGATCCAAGACTTAGATCACATATAGGCTGGGAGGTGCTTTTACTCACAGCCAGCCTCTAGGGATTATTGGTGAATTCCTCTCTGGTCCTATGCGAAATGAGAATATTATTGTCTTCCCCACAAAAAACAGTTGGCCTTTTTGTCCTTAAGCTTGTTGTGTGACTGCCTTGGGTTGATGTGTTGCTGGGTAGCCAGGCTGCCTCCCTCCCCTGACTGATTGGTGATGCCTTTATGCTGGAGAACCTAGTTTGGAAAAAAGAAAAGCAATGG